TTGGTTAAGATTCTGGTCTAGAAACCAAGAGACGATAAGTTCTAGTCCTCCTTTAGGCGCAGAAGCTGTCTCCTTCGAGCCAGTTGCGCGCTCTCAGCCCAGCCCACTCCATAGGGTTATTGTTGTCTGGAAAATAGGGGGAGAGAGAACTTTTATGCTGCTTTGAGCTATTCAGAATAAAAGCGGAATATAAATCTAATAAATAAATGCCACAAAATAAGGAGGACTGTTCTCTTGCCTAGTACATAAAGCTTTACACAAGGAAACAAGCATCTTTTAGAACATTAACTTTCCTCTACCAGACCTCAAAACTCTTGGGGGGAGGGAATTTATGGATGAGGATGGGCTTCATGGAAAGTGCCTTGGAAGAGTAGAACTGGGCTCCTTAGCAACTGTTTACCCAAGGCCTAAACAATCTCCCATATCAAACCCAATTTAAGGAGCACAGAGTAACCTCCTCTGGACCTTGAAGACTTTTCCAGCATTTGCCATTCTTAGTGCCAGCTGAAGCAACAATTTCTTAGGGGGGAAAATGAAATAATGAATCTTCTTTGCTGTATTTGCTGATAAGGATGGAGAACTTGTGAGTTGTAGTCAAAAACCATGTGGAGGCTAACATCGGCTTGAGCTTGCATGGCTGATGATCATGGAAAAAATATTAGTGCTGCTATTTGGGCAGGGGTGGGGAGTGAAGATGTAAAGGACCAATCCCTGAGTCATGTTCTTTGCTGAGACTAATTTAAAAGGAAAAACTGCTCCCATGATGCTGTTCCAAAAATACTTGATTCCAAAATTAGTGCTAGTCTATGCAAGTCTCAATTCTTTTATATAAAAATGCAAAAGTTCTCCTATTGTATAGAAATACCCCATTCTCATAAATATATGAAAGTGTGGCAACTAGGAACTGATGGGCTTAAAGAAAAATGACCACATATTTATTGCAAATTAGGTCCATGTACTACTTCTTGTAATGTCAGCAGGAGCTGCAGAAGTACATTTCTTAATAGTTTAAGCCAATAGTATCTTTTAAATATCAATGTCATGTGAATTTTTAGTAGTTTAAATTGTTTTTATGAGGGCTGAACTCAGAACAGATGATCTCACATGTTTTTCTTTTATTCACTTCTTTGGCGGAAGTTATTTTTTCAGAGGTGTAAAACCAACATCTACCTATTTGTGCTATTTAGATCCATCGGGTCCCCTGTCCAAACAGCAGAATCAAGCACTTTCAGTAAACAAAAGCTGCCAGCGTCTGCAACAGAAAAAGCCTTCTCAGAAGATAGAAGCAGCAGTGGAATTGCCAGATGGAGCAGCTTTGTCACCGTTGGAGAAGAGGCTTACTGTGCCCACTCCAAAATCACCATGCGAGCCTCTGGCATCAACTGAACAACAGGAAACCAGAAATCAACAGGTGGAAGTTGGTCTTAAACAGTCTTGTAATGTTGATCCAACTGCAGCAACAAGTCATCAACTCGTGAAAAAGAAAATGGAATTGTTAGTAAGTCTGTGATAAAGTTGCAAGAATGTTACCATCCTCGATAAGTTAATTGGAGATTTGAATAGTAAACTGACATGCACCCATTTTTTCAATGGTTTTTAGAGTATTAAGTAACAAGAATTTTTCTTCTTTTTGTTTTGGTATGTTTTGTGTATAGTGCAACACCTGATCAATTCCCCAATCTTGATGTCAGATGCGCAAATCCTTGTAGGCCTTTCCTTGGGTGCAGACAAAAAAAGAGGGTTCTGTGTCCATAATTTTCAATTTCTAGAGATACCTGTACACGTGTATAATTTTTGTAGTAGAGAAGAGTTTCAGGCAATTATTTCCATATTGACTCATTTACCAAATACAGTGCAAAGAATGGGGGGGGGCATTGGAGCAATCAACTCAATACTTATTAGAGTCTTGTGGGGAATTTCTGCTGCTCTGAAGGAAGCTGGACTGAAAGCACACTCCACCATGCAGATTGCAAAGGTTGCTTCATTTACAGCTTTTCATCGAAAAACCCAGATGCTTCTCAAAAAAGCTGCAGGTTTCTTGAAAAGTTTGAAAATCATAGATGCAAAGGATTATTGTATGTTTTCTGTAATGTCAGCCCAACTCCCTCCATAGAATCATTATTAACTAGTACAGAATTTGTCAAGCAGGAATAATTGTTCTGTGGCTGCTGTATGTGACCTTCCTGAGGTTTCAATTTGGCCCTCAACGGCCCCTCCTCATTTGCAAATTGGGCATACCTACAGAGGTCTAGTCAGAAGGAAATCATATTCAGAAGAATGAAGCTGCATTCTACTTCTATCTAAGATCACTCTGAGGGCCCTAATATGTGAAATCTGTAGATATTCTGCCCTTTGAATCTTGTGATGCATAGGCTACATTTCTCCTTTCTCACACCCATATATTAAGATGCTATTTGATCATGTATCCTATTTGAGGAATTCAGAGAACCTGAGGGATTATAACTGAACTCTGAACTATGCCCAAGAGACCTGACTTCTGAATCCAGGCCTGGCACTGGAAGAGTTTCTTGAGATTTTTCAAACGTTTTGAAAAAAATGGAAGATACATTGTGAGTCAGTTATTTGTTACAAAGGCTAATTGAGGAGAGAAAAAAGGAATAGAAGTATGTATTGATTCTTTTATTTTGTCATTGTTCAGGCAGGAGAAGTCTCGGTGGGAAATCCTTCAACAAGAGCAGAAACTGATGGAAGAAAAAAATAAACGCAAGAAGGCTTTCCTTGCTAAAGCAATTGCTGAAAGGTGCGGAGACTTACAGCTGGAGAAACACAATGCACGTTTCGTCTGTATTATTACATTTTAGTTAATCTGTTTTGCAGCCCTTCCTCTTTAAACATGATAGAAATTAAAAGTCTTTTGCCAGGTTTTTAATTAACTGAATTAATTAGCCTTAATTTTAATTTAGAGTGTAACTATTTTTATACTTTAAAAAAAAAAAGTTAGCTGCTTGAATATGCATTCAAGTAGAAAAGTAGGATGTAAATCAAATAAAGAAATATACTTGAAGATATAATCCCATTAGTTTCATAAGGGACAATCGAATTGTTTCTCTCTGTGTATCTTGGGGCTTCTACCATGAGTCCTAACCAGCATAGGCAATGGTAAATGATGGCCTGAGTTCTAATTCAAAACGTTTGAAAGATGGTAGGTTTGCTTCCTGAAAGTTACCCCTTAGAAAACCCAGGTTGAAAACTGCTGGCTACTTTTCTTCTTGCAAATGAATATGTGGCCTTAAATATGTTTCTTTGATTCTCTTGAGAATAACAAACATCCTTTCAGGAAAATGATGCAGTGTAAATATAGGCTGCTGCTGCTAATTCTAAAGAAAGGGGATTTAAGTGCTGTTCAGTGAGGGCTGGAACCCTGGTCTCCAGCGTGACAGAGCCATTTAGTTTTTCAATTTTGAGTTTCTAAAACAACTGTTTTCGATATTTGTAGAAGTTGAGTATAGCTGTTCTCATATTTTAAATTGATTTGTTGAGTATAGCTGTTCTCATATTTTAAACTGATTTTGCTAGCAAGTATGTGATTTGGCAGGGGATATAAAACCTATTAAACTGATGTCTGTTTTAAGCACAATTTATATTTTTAAAAAAGTTTTCCTATAACTCAAGCTTTCATTAGAAAAAAACTCAGAGTTTCTTGGGAATCTGTGTCTCCCCTCTCTGGAAAATAGAAGCTCCTCTGCTTCTGTAATTTGCATTTTAAAAGAACACGCAATGATTTTGGGTGGTTGTATCGGGCAATTGTATCTTCTATTGAAATGCATGGTTGTTTGTAAGTACAGGTCAAATGAATTTACTTGTTTCTTCCCCAGATCTAAAAGAACTCAGGCTGAAACAGTTAAATTAAAGCGAATCCAAAAGCAGCTCCAAGCTTTAGATGACATGGTATCTGCTGATATTGGGATCCTGAGAAATAGGATTGACCAGGCAAGCTTGGAGTATTCATGTGCTCGGTGAGGACTTAATGCCAACTTATTTTTTCTTCCTAACAGCGGTATTGTTTGATTTGCTGCCTTAAAATACAGCACTTTCTTGCAAAAAAATTATTTCATCAGCATCTGCTTTCATTATCTTCAGATTTATTTCCTGCTGCAATGCTCATTAGCCCTGTTCTGTTGTTATATTTTGCTAATATAGCCTGTGGGCACAAGCAGTTTGAAAAATGACATAACGCATCGCTGCTCCAGCGAAAAGCTAAACAAAATTGAAGAAAGCAGCAGTGTTGATCACCGGTCTAATTTGTTTGCATTATGGCTGAAATTTTTTCGTTGTTCAGTAGATGATGAAGTATTGTAATTACTCTGGTGTGATAACTATTGTTCTCACTCAAATGTTACTAATTTCAATAATCTGTGGGGTTTTATGTCTTAATTATCAATGTGTTAACCTTGCCAATTAAAAAAAAAGTTTCCAATAAGAGAGATAACAAGCGAGCAAGAAATGGAGGATGCCAATTGCAGTGATGCCAATGCAAGATTCTGCCCCGCTAGTACTTTCTACATCTCAATACCCATTCCATTTTCTGTCAGAGAAAGGATATCAGGGTCAAAGGAGTGCTACTCGTATACTGAAACTCACTTGCAAACCCATTATCCCATTCCCTGCAACTGTTGGCCTTTCCTGTGTTAGGTTTGCTATTAACTTGGTGTAAGCCTTTTACACCATTGTCAAAATACCTCTTACTAAAATACTGTACAATTAAATATAATTAAATGTTGGGTTTTTTTAGGAAACGTTATGATAAAGCAGAATCAGAGTATGTGGCTGCAAAGCTGGATCTCCAAAAGAAAACAGAAGTCAAAGAACAACTCACAGAGCACTTGAGCACAATCATACAGCAAAATGAGCTCCGCAAGGCCAAGAAATTGGAGGAGTTAATGAAGCAGCTGGAAGTAGAAGCTGATGAAGAGAACCTGGAACTGGAGATAGAGGTAGAGCAAATGTTGCAACAGCAGGAAGCAGAAGTTGGAAGGCAGGTGGCTGAGGCACAAAAGCTTGCTCCAGTTGGTGTGCAGAATACAGCTCCCCAGACTTTCAGTAAAGGACATGAGAATGAAAGCCTCAGAAACGTTAATGGAGCAGCCTAGAAATTCCCATACAAATGACCAAAGTCACACAGTAAACTTTGGTTCTGAAGAAATTATGGTTCATCTGGAACATGTCTGATAACTCATCTTTGATTGTTCGTGTCATAGAAGCACTGGCATATAATGACAAGAAGCCTTTGAATTTGTGCAGTTTTCCAGTCTCTATTATTATTAGATTCATGGTTTATATATACAAATGATCTTTTTCCCCTCTCCACCTTTCCTTCTTGCATGTGATCTATTATGGAGGGAAAGGATAATGATATCTACATAATATTTAAAATGCAAAACACCGAGCCAGTAGGAGTGAGGAATTGTGTATATCTTGCATGATAGAAGATCTCACTAGATCCTACATTATTGGCTTAGACACACACACAAGTTTTAAATGACACTCGTTTTTCAATGTTTACAAATGAATATAAAAGGATATGGATGAGTGAATCAAAGAGTGTATCAGAGTGTGCCCCATTTTTGTCCTTTGCCCCCAATGTGATTCTCCAGCTGGCAAACATTTTCTACCCTTGTTAGTGATTCTGTTAAAAAAAAATGGTTGGGCCATTAATGATTTCTCCTTTAAATTAAGTGTTTCTGGACTAAACCTAATTACTGAGCAATAAAAAGGGGAAAATACCTTCCAATATTTTAAATGTATTATTATTAATTAAAATATAAACAAACAAACATTGCAATCAGTAGCAAACAAACAATGGCAAACACACATTTAACACTGTGTTAAATTCATATTTGGATTCTCCAGATTTTCTAGTGATTTAATTATTTCACCTTTTTGTTTTATTCATCCTTGCCTGTTTCTCTACTGTTCATGTGTTGTTGAAGTGTTAGTCCGTTGTCCTTACTTGCATAATCAATCAACATGTGCCAAATTTCAATAAAAATGTCCCTGCTCTTAAGAATTGGGTTAGTTTTTCTTGTATTGCCGCGTTCTGCAATTATTGGACTTCAGAGTTACATCAAAGACTTTATCATATGCACTAAAATAAAATGATTTCATAGAGAATTGTTAACATTCTTGTTTTTAAAAATGAAAATGTTGTGGTTATGAATTGTAAAGCCAAATACAGCACAGCTTTTTTCCCCTATTACCTGTAGCTTCTCTATGCCCTAGCCGTAGCCTAACCATAAAACAAATCAATTCATGTTAAGAGCCATTGCAGTTGTTACCTGTTCACTTCCAAAGAGGAAGTCACATCATCTCACTGTCTACTGACTAACTTGGTGTTAGATGGTTATTTGATAGATCAAGCTATTGTGTGTTACTTATGTGCTATACCAGTGTTTCTCAACTTCAGCAACTTCAAGACATGTGGACTTCAATTCCCTGGCTGGGAATTCTGGGAATTGAAGTCCACACATCTTAAAGTTGCTGAGGTTGAGGAACACTGTGCTATTCTGTCATCAGAAACTAAGCAAGGCAAGCTGTTTTCATTTCTGGGGTGAAAGCAGATAATGCTGTTAAGGACAAGAGAGAGAATTTGAAAGCACATCACTTTCAGCACAGACTTGTTTCTTTTATTTTTACTGTACTGAACTGTGAAAAATAGCTGCATGTTCTTAGTATGGCTCAGAAAAAGTGGCAGTGCCAAAGAGGAGGGACTCAGGTCCTACTAAGACTGGAGGACCTGTCATAAATATTATTAAATGGTGAGCATGAGTGTTTTTGCCCTAAATGTCGGTGTCACCCTGATAGTTAAGCTACAAAATAGCAGAACCCAGGGAACAATATAAATTAACTGCTCTCTTCACATGGCTCAGATTCTGAGTAATGCTTCTTGGCCATTTCAGCAAAGCAAGAAAAGAAAAGGCAACTTTACATGTTTCAACAACAGTTACTTTGCACTCTTGAGTATTTTAAATAAAATAAAACTTAGGTCGTCAAAATCTTTCCAGATCAAGTAAATGCACCCTCGCCTCTTCATTCAGTTATTTAATGAAGTGATACTAAGTACTACTTGCACTAAGTGAATCTAGTGTTGACAGAAATGGAACACAAAAAAGATACTAAAACTAAGGAAGCGGTAGCATGCTCGTATAGCCGCTCAACTTCCAATGAAACTATGGGTGGGGAACAAAAAACATAATACACAAATCAATTAAAAGAACCTCCGTAAAAATACTTTATCAACACATCCTCCCCTCAAACATACTGGGCTCCATTAACATCCCAGCCTTGGGGAAATGTCAGATCTTAAAGGCCTTTTGGAAGGCCAACAGGGTCGGGCTGTCCAAATCTCCAGGGGGAGGCTGTTCCATAAGGCAGTGGCCATGACAGAGAAGGTGTGCTTCCTAGCACCCACCAGGTGACACTACTTCACCAAGGGGACCTGGAGCATGCCCACTTTGCCATATCTAGTAGGTCAGGCGGAAACCATCAGGGATAGGCAGTCCCACAAGTATATTATCCCATGCTATGTAACACTTTAAGGATGACAATCAGCATTTTGAATTGCACCTGAAGCCTACCAGGAGCCAGTACAGCTTACGTACAGTGGTGTTACATGGACATACTATGATACACTTAACACTGTGTGTGCAAGAGCATTCTGGATCAGCTGAAGCTTCCAAATGCTCTTCAAGGACAGCCCCATGTAGTGAGCGTTCTAGTAATCAACTCGGGACATGATTAGAATGTGCCTAATAGACAAGGTTGATATGCAGCATGTCCAAAATGTACAGGGATAATCCCAATTGTCTTGTGTTATTCCATATACTCCAGCCCTTTCCCTCTATCCTCCTATACAAAACACTGTTTGCCCTGTTTGTGTTAATGGCTGTAACCTCTCATTTCACAGCCAGTTAAATCCCAAATCCCCTGGCAATTAGATAAGCTTTGGAGCAATCTGATCCCAGGAGTGTGCTTTGTATGGACCAGCTGTCTTGAGATCCTCCATTATTAAGACATGATTGCCAAGGATCAGCAATTCTCTGCACTAGTTAACTTACAACTTCTCTTTATTTTACCATTCCTTGCCACTTAACCATTTTGGTCTTGCCATCTGAGGCAACCAACAGCAGCTGTGGATTGAGAAGATATGGATCTGTATCTGTACCAAATGTAAATCAAACCCCCTCTCATTTGGCTTTCTTATAATACAGTAAAACATATCTCAGATATTAAGAAAATCTTGGTGTGATATAAGTGTGACATCAGATCCATATCATATGAGAACAGCTCAACAGAATAGCTCAACTGTCTACTCAATTGATTGCCATCTTTGGCTGTACCCACAGCTCTGCTGGAGCCCAGGGTTGCAAAAGCATCTTCTTCTGCTTTTTTGCCTTTGCTACTCTTCTACTTGCAAAGGTTTCAATGACTTTGGGTTGACAGCTGGTTAGCCTTTTTTTCCTCTCCGCCAAGATCAAGAGACTGCCAGGATGTATAGAGTTTTGGCACATTCTGTCAACATGCTTGCAACTCTGTAACAGCGCTGGTTGATACCAGAAGCATTAGGAGGCAAAGACAAAGCACACCATATCAAGCAAATGCTTTTTTTAAAAAAGTGGAAAAATATGACTATTTTGTTACATAGCTGGATTCTTCCCAACTATGCAGAAACCTCTGCTTTACATGTAGCTCCCTTTCCTTGCTTGCAATTAGCATGGAACCACCAGGTTTGCTATGAATGGGGGTGCAGATACACCAATCATGTCTCAGTGACTAATGGCTTTCATTTTAGTACTTCTTTTTACTAAATGCTGGCTGTGAAATCATATAATTGAGCTTTTTTTTTTCTGCCTGTCATAGTGCATCCTATGTATGTTTTGGGATAAATTTTACTACAACAAGTGAGATAGAAGTTTTACAAATAAGCAAATATTTCGTGGTATTTTTCCTACTAAGTATACACCCAGCATTAAGGAGCTCTTTTTAGTTCCCATCTTATTGGATATTGGTTTTCACTTAAACTCTGTTCTGATTCATTCTTCATCAATCTTCTTTATATAAGAAGCTTAGGAGAGACTATTGCTAGAAAAGGGAGGCCAGAGTAAATACAAAGAGCACCTGAACAAACCATGATTTGACACTCTCAGTTACTAGGTATTTTTCTTCTTCAAATGTTTGTTATAGCACAATAAGTTGTATGAATTAGGGGCCATATTTTGTAGTTACAGTCATTTTTTCAGTTAGCTAAGCATAAATCTGGGATAATGAACTGTTTAATGTTTGCGGGACAGATTGTATATTCTTGGTTTTGTAAAATCCCCAGATCTTTTCCAAACTTCTATTAAATGAATATGTTCCTGCTTGTTCATGTTCCTCCCATCTATCTAAGCATCAGTTTATAACTAACATTATCTGATCTAGAGAACAGTCAATCCATGGCAGAAAGAGAGAGATTAGAAACATTCTGAGGACCAACTAGTATAGCTGTTCTGTATTTTAATTAATATCTAAAGTACCTGGTAAACTCCTGTAGTTTTCCTATGCTGTCTTAGTTGCAATAAGCCAAAAGGGAAAAAAAAAAGTGATGACCAGGTTATGAAAGGTGCCTCTGGAACAGAATCCCAGCATCAGGGCATGGTTGCATACAAATATTAGGCACAAGAACAGTTCACTATCCCTTATTGCAAGGCAAGGAAAAGTATCATTTGCTTAGTTCCTTCAAGTCAGCTGCTTCAAAAGATGCAGAGCCAATTAAAAAATGGCAACCTAGCATGTGCTTTGCATAAACTAGATACTGTGGTCAGCACATGTATTTATTTTACAGATATTCTGCTTTTCCCTACTTCAGACCTTAAAACAGAAGTCCCCAAACTCTTCAGCTCATCAACCCCTTCATGAAGTTTCAGATTGTTCATCGACCCCCAAACATTTATTATATGAAAATAATTTAATAAATACTACTTTAACTAATAGTACTACGAATCATCATCATCATCATCATCATCATCATCATCATCATCATCATCATCATCA